AAATTGTATTTAGGTATATTTTGACAATTATTTATTGAGCATAAAGACTTAAAATCTAGTTTCTTTTTAAATTTTCATTGTTTCAACTTAAAAACTTTTACCTTATTCATATAAAATCATAAAAGAATATTTAATCACTGCAAACAAATCCAATTTCAGTCAGTAAGTAGGCAGTTTAGAGCTACTCATAACCATATATAACTGTCTAAATATTGCTTAATTTAAAAATTATTTAAATATAATATTTATATTATTCATTCAAAAACACGAGTAAATACTAAAATTAGTCAAAACTAAAGAAAATAATAATAGTTACTATTACATATCATTTTAAAATAAATTCAATAAAGCATACCATAAGATGTAATGTGCATGCCACTAATAAATCAAAAATTTGATGTCTTATTGAATCTGTAGGTAGTTTTGACTTCCATAAGATGCTCAGATAACTCTTCACATCACGTTCAAAATTTTCACACTCCAAGTAAAACTTAGTGAGACAGTAATATAGCTAAAATGAGATAAAACGTAAATTTCATAAAATATTATAAACATAAATCTATAGTTTAAATACAAGCATTAAAACTTTCAAACCGAACTATTCATGCTGTTTTAATCTTGAAAACCTGAAAAATCATTATCTATTGATTTTATCAAAAATCATGCAAATCAATATCAAATATCATAAACAACTTATGTTCTTTTTATTCAAATATATTTCAGAACTTTCTTTTCAATTCCATGTTCATTTCTTTCATATTATGTCATAACTTTCACATATACTTTTATAGTCCAATGTATATGTAAGATAATACAATGTACATGAGTCAGACGAGTGTGCACAGTAAGCAATTCAATGCTATCATCTCAATCAAAACATATTAGCACACACATTGCTATTATATCAGAATCATAATATGCACACAAAGTGCAATCACATATGAAATATACTAGTGTATCCACTGGTAACACCACAATTATCATAAGCAGACACAATGCTATCATATTGGAATCATAATATGCACACAAAGTGCAATCATATCGGAAATATACTAATGCACTCACCAGTAACACCACAATATATTAATCACTCCACCTCATGGCGTGCCAATTATACTTACGACTCTCAATGCAATATATAATGGGTTTTATTTTAAATTCATATAATTTATAATTCAACATTTTCGATCAATAGCATTTTTCCAATATTATTCTCATAAAAATCATAATTTGGGCAATTCATATCCTGAACATTCATAAATCATTCATGCGAACATTATATAAATAATTCGTATTTAAAATAGAAAACATACTTTAAAATAATACGAGATTAACTTATCACAAGTCGTCCTCAATCAAATTAATCAAATAAACTATTGCACTCATTTTACAATTTACTTATAAATCAAAATATAAGTCTCACCAAGCTTTAGCCTTAATCTTTTGCTTTAAATTGCTTTAATTGCATAATTTTTTAAAATTTCATATTCTGATAGTTTGCACTACTTTCAAAGAAATATTATTTTGTATTAATATACAAAATGAAAATTATTTTGTTTGTACCAATGAAAATTAGACTCGAATACAAATCTAACCATATAAGGCACTTCGTCTAGTTCTATATATAATTTATAGCGAATTTTCAAAGTTGACTAACAGAAGTTGTTTTTGGCATAATCAGCTGCCCTGTTTTCTGACCTATCACTGATTAAAAATTCATATTTTTTTGTATACTCTTTGAAATCGGTTACAATTTGTTCTAAACGAAACTAGACTGATATACGAATCCAATGATATAAGATTCATCTTTAAATTATTTTTGTATAGTTTCTGGTGATTTTCTAAATTTACTATTCATAACATAATTTCTATGCATATTTCACGAACTTGCATTCTTAACTTATTCACTAATTCTATAGCTTACCAATTGAACATATAGGTTTGAATCACACTTCGCATAAACTAGGAGTCACTTCTTAACGTAACTCCAACACTAGCTCATCGCAAGCCAATGTTTGTTCGATAACATAAATACAAGTTAAATACACTCACTTTTGCCTCATAATTGAACATTTTCCACGATATTCTTCTCGATCTCACACTTTTTCCTCCCTTTACAAACTACTTGAATCACTAGATTTAACGTGATCTGATAACTTATAATAACATAAAATATTCAAACTATATGTTAATATTAAACTAACATAATCTAAATTTAAATATAAAATTCAATAGAAATAAATATGATACTTAAATTGATATAAAACTAAATCGTAATTCAATCGAAATTTTCAAACTTCTCAAAATTCTTATTCAATCCCATGAATATTTATTTTCACTATCAAATCAACCCTTTAATTTTTTGCCAATTACACCATCAAGCCATAAATTGTGAATTATTTTTAGAATTCATATTAACTTTCAACTTAATTCATAATGACCCTTCACCATTATGATCATTTTACATTAATCACATAAAATTTCTAGCACCTTACTAAAATATTCAAATCAACACTTAAACATTCAAAAGCTTAAAATTTCATCCTAAACTTTCTTAGACTTTTCAAATTCAACCTCATAACTTGATAAACTTGCAATTAAATCTCAACTTAATAATTAAACCCAAAAATTAGCATACTAAATAAAATTTCCAGCATTTGCAATAATTACTCAAATGATACTTCTACATTTAATAAACTTGAAATTAAGTCCCTATAATATTGGGACTTTTTGAATTCCACCCTCGACTTTACCAAACTTGCAATTTGGTTCCAATCAACTTTCTAACTTAAATTTCTAGCATTTCAACTATAAAAAATCAGCATTGAACCCTTCAAATATTACATTCTTGCAATAATTTCCCACAATTCTCAAAACTTGTATATTAACCCTTTTACTAGCTCCAGGCTCCAAATTGATATCCAAATCACACATAACACTTCTAATATTAATTCTAGACCATAGGAAAAAAAATTCCTTAATTTTCCCTAATGGTTGAATCTCACTATGGTCTTAAGGCTAACTTTTCATTCAATTCCAAGCATGAATTCAACTTCCTTACTTCAAATTCATGCTATTCTAATCAACACAACATCAAATTGAACCAAAATCAATCAATCACCAAAACCCTAATTAGGCCAAATCAAACTACAAGGCTTTACACATCACTTTAATAACCACAAATGCATTAGAATTAATCTCAAACATAAAAAACATAATAATCTTTCATTAAATCTTCAAACTCTAAAAACCCTAATAAACCCTAACTTTCAATATCAACACACAAGCATCTTCACCATGAAATATTATATCAAATGATAGAGAATTTCATGTAGATTAATTCTCTATATAGTAGCTTAATCCAAAAATCAAGTATATTGCTTTAAAAATCAAAAATAAAATCTTACATCTTCATGCAATGAAGTTTTGGCCAAGAGAGTTTTGAAGCTGAAAAATTGTTGTCTCTTGATTATTATAGTATTAATTCATAATATACATGGCATTTAAACTAGTTAAATTGAATTTAAAATTCAATTCTTGAGAAATTTCATTTTTACCATTAATGAACCTTAATAATTACCAAATACCATTTCATTATATTCCATTAAAATATTTCATAGTCAAAGATGTACAATCTTGACTTTGACTTTCTATTTTGGCCATGAAATTTTCAAAAATTACATTTTAGTCACTAAAATTTCATTGTTCAACCAAATCTAAAAAATTATGTTGATCTAAGTTAAATTTCTTTGACCTAAAATATGGAAATAATATTTCCAACCATTTCTAACATCCTTCAATTTTTTTAAAATTTTGGTTCGATCCGATTATCCGATTTCAATATCGAACTTTATCACTTTATAACTTTTAATACAAATCTCGTACTGAAAATATGATTCCCATGAAAATCAGTGTTTTAAGTCAAACTGTTCATTTACGGGATAAAATATATAATTTTTCAAAATTACATTTTGGTTCCTAAACTTTTACAAACTTTATACTTTAGCCCCAAACTTTTAAAACTTACATTTTAGTCACTAGGCAATTTTTTTGTATTACATTTAGTAACTAAACTATAAGTTTTGGTTCATTTTAGAACTTAAACTATCAAGTTTTTTTCAAAGCCATACATAATGATTATTTTTTTCGTTTTAGGACATCGACATAAAAATTTCACGGCACCGTATTTTTAAGGTAAATTAATTCATTCACCACTCAACTATCTTATCACTCCTATTTTGGTACTAAAGTTTCAAATTTTCAATTTAACTAGTCAACTTTCAAATTGCTCCTATTTTAATAACTCTAATTTATTTTATTAATATTTTTTATGACATGACATTTATTATTATTTTATTAATGTAATTAAAAATAAATTTGAAAGTTAGAGTGATTAAATTAGGAGTGATTTAAAAGTTAAGTAATTAAATTTAAAAAATTAAACTTCAGTTGCCAAAATAAGAGTGAAAAGATAGTTGAGCGATGGATGATGCAATTTATCCATAAAAAAGGTGTCACATGCAAATCACCATTAAGTTTTTAACTTTGAGGTACTAAAACAAAAAAAAACTAAACTTTAGGCACAATTTTGAGAAAAATGAAATTTTAGATATTAAAACATAGAAAAATTGATAATTTAGATACTGAATACATAATTTACCTTAAATTTTAATAGCGGGTGACCAAAATAAAACCAAAATGTAACATTAGCCATGATTTTGAAAATAAAAATAATTGGTGATCATAATGAAACTAAGTGATAGTTAGGTGCTAAAAATGTAATATACTATAAAAATATTTATATATTATAACACCAAAATCCAACTGAATCCATAAAAAAGGGGGTGGGGGAGGTAATATACGGTATTTATATAGAAACAAAGAAAGGAAAAGGAAAGCTGAACTGCACGCACTGAAACTGAGTGTGCAGGAATGTGATAAACCAAAAAGCAACTTCCTTAAGTACCGTTTCTCTCATTTTCTTCTCTCCGCCTGCCTTCTTTAATACCATTACTTCACTTCCTCTTCCTCCTCCTTCTTCTTCCTCTCTCTCTTTGTCCGGAAACGGAGACCAAGACTCCGGCAGATGAGTCGTTTGGCGCCGTTATCAGAAGAACCCATTAACGAAGAAGACTCTGCGAACAATTCAAAGAAAGGCTTGTCATGGAAAAACTGGCTCAAAACCCATATCTCTCTCGTCTTCAACAAGAAGTCTGATCTTAAAATCCTCTTGATCGTTTTGGGTTGCCCTCTTTTCCCGGTTTCCGCCCTCTCTAAACCACCCATCAATGAGGTAAACCAATCTCATTTTCCTCTTTTCTTTTAACGATTTTCAATCTCATGAAATGCTGTTCGATATTTCTTGTGCATGAGGTTTTTTGGTATGCGGATCACTTGATATTAGATTCACGTTTTAAGTTTTTTTTTAAGTCTTGTTGGATTTGGAGCTTTTTTTTCTTGGGACATTTTTCCTTGTTCTTTGTAACCAAAGTTTATATTATTCTTAGGCCTTAGGTTGGTGATAAAGTGTTACGGTTGGGTTGGCTTCTATAGTTAATAGTGGCTCTCAACTTATACGGCCTCAAGTCCCCACCGGCTTCCCACCATGAAAGCACCCAAAAGGAAAAAAAGTAACATTTTTTGTGGGTCCTTTTGTTTATTTATCAAGTTGAGTTTGTGTAAAACGGTAGGAGAGATTTAATTAATTAAAAAGTCATACCCCCCCCCCCCTTTCATTTTCTTTTCCTCAAAATTAGCACTTTCAGGATGGAATTTACTTATATCAATTGCTCTGATCTTGATCCTTTCTCCTTAGAATCATTGTTGAGCAGCATCCAAAGGCCTTTAACTTGCTCTAATTAAGTGCTTTCTTTTTATGGATGGAATCCTTGAGTTGTTATTGTTAGATTTCAAATATATTTTGTTGAAGATATGGTGAAAAATAAGAATCCAGATTTGCAGGGGCAAAGAAAATGAAAAACAATAGTGTGCTGATAACCATGTCTGACTTTGATCTGTTTCCCTTTGAGGTTGGTTTTAATTCAATCCAATACTCCATACGGCAAATGCTTCATGTTTTTCAATAACTTGAAACTGAAATTGTTGAAGGGATTTTCGGATTCAACTCGAAGCAATCACTCTTCAATTAAGAATCGGAACTCTTGTGCATAACAGGTATCATCCTCAGCTCAATACATTATACAACATTTTACAGCAGCAACAGGATGCCGGAAATCGGAAGGGACGGTGAGAAACATTTTTGTGACTGGAAAAGTAACAATGGCGATGGTAGATGAGCTAGGTGCAACGGTAGGCTCGGTGGCTGGAGCTGCCGGAGTTGCCCAAAAAGGATGCTTTGTTATGTGGCAAATGGTACCTAATAAATGGCTAATTGAATTGGTTGTGGGTGGTCACAAGGTTATAGCGGGTAGCGATGGCAATGTGGCTTGGCGCCGCACGCCATGGCTAGGAACACATGCAGCCAAAGGCGGTGTTCGTCCCCTACGCCGAGCTCTTCAGGCAAGTGATCTTTGTTTGATTTAATTATCTGGGGATCATTGTTATAATTTCATTTTCTCATGGTTTCCCATTGCTATAGCAATTAGTGGTCCCTTTTGTTAGCTTAAGACTAGTACTGCGGTCCCATGTTGGTATAAACAATTATTGGGGCGCTTTTCTTTACTTTTTTAATAATTTCTGAATTAGATCTATGCGATCTTGACTTGTGATTTTTTAGGTCCAACATGACAACTGCTTTACATGTAATCATCCGATGAACTTCAAGAAAGGAATCATTTGGAATCATTTATTTATTTTCTTTCGAGGATTAATGTGCATAAGATCAATTTTTTGATGATATTTGGATGACTTAAAATGTTTCCACTGAGCTGAAAGTCTAATATCGTAGATTTCGGAATCATTCTCTCGTATGCATATCTAAGATGTTTGTGTTCTTGTACACTAGGATGTTAACTTGTGTAAACTTGTTTTTTTTTTCTGTTCTTACAACATATAAAAGAATTTGTTATCCGGACTTTTCGATTTCCTTAAAGTGTTTATGTTCGACGCGCATCCTGATATGATATGGGGGTATGATCCCCGACTATATGATATTCCGGACTATGAAAATCATAGCACATTTTGCTTTGGAAGTAGAAAAAAGTAGTTTTGAGTTTTGACCATCAACAACCACTACCTAAAATATTCATCCGTTGATGTTTGCATTTTATGATAAAAAGTATCGAATAATTCTTGTAGGGACTGGATCCTATGGCAATATCAGCTGTATTTTCCTCAGCTCAGTACATTGGAGAGAAACGGATCTCCGGAACTGATTGTTTCGTGTTGAAACTATCTGCTGATCAAGTGGACTTGGCTGATCGGAGTGATAACACTGCTGAGATGATCAAGCATGTCATATTCGGCTACTTCAGCCAAAGAAGTGGACTGCTGGTGTTTCTAGAAGACTCTTACCTGACCAGGATTCAATCACCCGGAACACACCCTACATATTGGGAAACAACAATGGCTACCAAAATTGAAGACTATAGGTTAGTGGAAGGTGTCATGGTTGCACATTCTGGTCAGTCTAATGTTATCATCACGAGATTTGGCGATAATCTAAAGGCAGGCCTCTCAGTCACTCGCATGGAAGAGATATGGACCATCGACGATGTTGCTTTCAATGTCCCCGGACTCTCCATCGATTGCTTCATCCCTCCCAAAGAAGTTCAGAGAGATTTCCCGGACGAGAACTTGGATTGGCGGTCGCCTCTGCATCGATGATGAAGGCTAAACACTACTCGGTTGCTAATCGCTTTCGATATAAAGGCATTCGATCTCGACGCTGTTTTAACTTTTGACTGGAGTAGGCCTGACACTCATCTATAAGCATATGTATATAAAATCACATTATATATATTTTTGGGTCCCAGTGTTTAGAACTATAGTAGGCTTTCGTATTGCTTTAACTGATTATGGAATCATTTTGTATAACCCTGAAAAAAGAGAGTATCTTTCAGCAATTCATAGCGGCCAGCTTTGCTGATCTTCAGATCTTTGCAGACTATTTTGTATGCTTAAAGTCTATCAGGGAACGTACATGTGTTTGTGTTGTGTATTCTGGCCATTTATCTGACGTGTAATTTTGTTGGAAAAAGCAGCAGATCGCATAAAAGAATCGAACTAAGATCCCACATCGTTTTCTGATAATTTACTTAAAAGAGTAGGTAAGAATGATTTGTTCATTGAAAATTTTAACATGTATTAGGTGAATCCACTGACAAATCCAGTGCCTAACAAATTCTATTATCGATATAAAAAAGGCTTAAGGGTAACGTATGCCGATGCCAGACAGATAGCGATTATTCTGTAAGCTAGTTTCAATAGGTGATTCACATGAGAAAATTCGTCCAAAACCAGAGAAAAAAGTCTCTAGGATTTAACAGAATATTATAAAATCAAAACCATCCAAAAATCAGCCCACAAGCCAGACTGTTATAGCAAAAATCGTGTTTATCCGAATTTTACCAAAAATAGCAAAATCCCGAAAATCACTCTAAATTGAAATTCGAAATAAAATAAGCAATCTGCAAAAAATTCGACCCAAATCGGATTTAAATTGACTTCCTAACTGACAAGCGAAATATTACCATAAATAGTAAAAAATAAATAAAACTAGTGATTCGGAGGAGAAAACGGCAAATTTTAGGTCATGGTATCTGAGCGCCATCAAGGTACAATCTTACAGCTCAGCATCATCTGTCTCGGATCCCCCTGCATCATATGCTCTTATAGTATATTAAATTTATCAATTTTACTTATATCATATTTTCACATCAATTTTATCCTCGAAGTTATTTAATTGTATTAATTTGTACCTTTAATCGTTTTGACTAACATAACCATTAGTTTATGGTTACGTGGACGTCAACAGTTTTTACAACTAAAATTGTGATGTTTCCTTTTTCAGAGGATTGAAGTTGTGATTTCTCCTTTTATTTCTTATACCACCCAAAACTACGCAGTTTTTGGAACCAAATATGTATCACCATTTTAATATTTTTTTCATTTTATTTTTTCCCCTTCTACCTGTGCTCTTCACTCTGAGGCATTGCCCTATTGGTTTCCAGGTACTTTATCGATCGATCATTGGTGACCACTGTATTGGTCACCATCGTCGGTTGCCGGTCAAGATCAAACTTCACCAATTAGCTCGTTTTGTTCTTGATCATGGATGAATTCTATTTTTAAAAAATTTAAATATACACTTAAACGACATCGTTTCGAATTCTTTATTTCTCTTATTTTTTCTCTACTTTACAATAAGGTGTACCGGTTGATGCTGCAGCCACCACGTTATTTTTTTATTCCGGCCACCGTCTATTGTGGTCGGCAATTACTGCAATGGGTCATGAGAGATGTGTAGATCGTCTAATGTTCTCCCATCAGATTGACCCATAAAATGTTCCGGTAAATGCTTTTTCGTTTATCCTCAAAAAGGGGAAACTTGGGCTCTCTTCAAAGATTGGGACGCTAAGTGGATTTCAGATCCAGAAAAGCATAAACCACCGTACGACTATGATTTTAACGAGGAAATTGACATCGGGGTTGCACATTTCTTTAAAGTGAAAGGGTTTGTCAGTATTTTCCACAAACTAAACATGACGGGGTTATCTCATTTCATATATCATCATGTGAGCTTTACAGATTTTCACATCGAGTTCCCTCGTTCAGAATGACTGGCAACGAAAGAGAAGGTATTCCTGTGGGATTTTCGAGTTAGATCCCACTTCTCTTCCTGCCTATCCTTTTCGAGCTGATCGATTCTAGCGATACGAAGCTGGTAATCACAATGCCGAAAATTGTTCTGGTCCTAATCATCCTCAAAATCAAGCAAAAGCTACGATAGATTCGGAAAGTAATCTCACTTCTGTGAATAATCAGATGGGTGACGTTGAAAAGAATCCTCTGCATCCAGAATATCTACAAGGGAACCACGTTGTATGCTTAAGGATCATGGTCAAGTTGATACAGTTCATTAAAAGTTCGATGAATAAAATAAAAGAAAATAGCAAAATTCAACGAGGAACGATGTAATTTACCTATATATATTATGTAGTGTAATATTCGGTATGTAACGGTATGAAGATCAACTTAACCTATCAATGATGTTTCCAGATAAGTTGATATCTTCTCTCTTTGAAAACTTCCGAAAAAGCACATGCTTCCCCTAAAGCATTTGCAGACTTACAATCATCACTAAGGGGTGTTTGAATTAAGGGATGTGAGATTCTCATACGAATGAAATTCACATTCTCATGTTTGGTTAGCTGAGAATTTCATTCCCGGTAATATTTTATTATTAATAGTAGGTTTTTTGGTATATTATCGGGATTGTCATTACCTCCATTTCCTTAAGTATTATTGGATTATCGACATTTTGGACTAAAATGCCCTTAATTTTTTTTCTTCAAAAATATCATTTTTCTGTCATTGAATAATAAAAATTATACGAATGTTAAATTATAAATTTATCCTTAAATTATTTTAGATTTACAAAAAAATCTATAATTAAAATTTTATATGAAGTTCATGGGTTAAAATAAAATTTTACCTTTTCATTAAACCTTTTTATATTTTCAATTTTGTAAAAACAATATATATATATATATATATAAATTTTATGAATTTAAATTTGTTAAAGAAAATAAATAAATATTTTTCAACTTGTTAAAAAAATAAATATATAATAAGGACAATTTGGTCAAATATACATTCCAATAATCTTTTATTCCTTTAACCAAATACCGTAATCTTGCATTCTAAACCAACCAAACACAAAATACAACATTCACAGTAATCCTATTCCCTGGTAATCTTACATTCCGTGAACCAAACGCACCCTAAGGGAGTTTCATAATCCTGATTAAAATATTTTAGGCTTATTTATAAATAATGTCTAAACTATTTTTTTTTAGAGTGTTTGTTGAAAAAAATAAACGAGATTGTGACGGATTTTAACAATTTACCCTTTTACTTTGGATGATGGAGGGACAAAAGAAAATGAAAGAGTAGAAGAAGATGATAGGTGGACAGTTAGATCCTCATATATAGAGACAGAATATGTCCCTATCACAATCTTGCAAGACGGTTTATATAGAGATTTTTAATATTGATGTCATCATAGGATGAAAATGTTGATTATTTATAGGTTGACAGGATAATTATATATATTGTTAATAGATATGTGGACTTATCAACGATCATGTCAAGAGATCGTAACTGGTCAGAAGATATAAAATTCTAGAGACTTTGAGAAACTCTGAAAGAATAATAACGGAGAGATGTTGACGGAGGAGGTCTGATGGAGGCATAACGATTGTCCTCCATTGATCGAATGAATGTCATTAAGTGACTTTAATCGAGAATTACGTAAAAATCATACCAGATTATTTCAAAAAAAAAGTTGAAACAAAATCAATGATCTAATCATACTATATTATATAAAAAAAAAAATTTGAGATCATCAACAGGTTTAGTAAAAAAAATTCATATCATATACCCATGTTTAGTTTGCCTCATTTTCATCGAGAAAAAAAGAATATTACTAATAATAAATTTTTTTGTTAAGATTTTGAAAATCTTATTACCATTAATTTCTTAGTTATTTGCATATATTCTTCGTATTAGCTAATTTATTTATATTTTTAACTAGATGATTAATTATTTTTGGGTAAATTTATTAAATATTTTCTTCTAAATTAGTTTAATTTTTAATAAATTAGTTTAAAATTAATTTAAATTATTAATTTAGAGTTAAATAATATTGAAGATACAATATTAACAAAAACACCATTTAAATATTAAATATTAAGCTAATTTATTTTCAATCACTAAAAAATTAATTTAGAGTTTTATTATATTTCGATGATAAAAGATGGGAAAACTTGAACTTTTAAAATTTTAGGGATTAGATTTTTAATAAAAAATTTATAGAAAATTTTAAAACATATGATAATTTTAAATTTTTAAGTACAACGATTGTCTCGCCCACCCAGCTAGATCAATCCTGCGGTCATGTCAGGAAGCATGAATTTATTTCAAAGAAATGGCATACAGAGTAGCCTTTGCATGAAAATTTAACATTAAACTGTACCTATTTCTCATATCATTCTTCCCTTAAATTCACCTCATTCTGCTTTCTCTTTAATGATATCTCAGTTTCATGATCCCAGACCCCATTATTTTTCAAATCCTTGTTGTTGTTCCTTATATTATATTATAGGGTAGGGTTAGTTTACCAGTGTTAAAGTTGTTAAGCCAAGCATTTTTCCTTTTTAAACTAAACAAAATGGTTGATCTGTTGTCACTCCTCGAAACCACCACCACCACCATCAACGACTGTAATCTCGCGCATTGCCTAGGGACGTGTTCGGCTGTGAGACGAAGGTCGAGAATCGTTAAAGGTGCTGATAGCGGTGCGGCGGACCAGTGTTAAAGTTGTTAAGCCAAGCATTTTTCCTTTTTAAACTAAACAAAAATGGTTTGATCTGTTGATTCATACTTTTCTTTCTTCTCAACTTCTCCTTTTTCTTGATGGGGGCCTTGTTCCTCGGTTGTTTCTCTGTTTCACCGAGCAAACTTTTCGATAAACGTCACTCCTCGAACCACACCACCACCACCATCAACGACTGTAATCTCGCGCATTGCCTAGGGACGTGTTCGGCTGTGAGACGAAGGTCGAGAATCGTTAAAGGTGCTGATAGCGGTGCGGCGGTTATGGATGCCGGGAGCCTTAATCATGTCGTCGCCTAATCCGAATATGAATACTCAGGCAGATCTTATTGCAGTTAAAGATTTGGTGCCTCATGGAGGAACAACTAGCTTGGTGGAGTTGCAAGAGGGCATTGGCATTGTTAAGTTTCTTAGAGGGAAGGAGTTTTTCATTTCCGGCTCAACTGGTTTTCTTGCCAGAGGTACTCGAGCTCGGTGCTGGATACGAAGTATTTGTCTTAGACTTGTTCGAGATTCGAACTACGTACCCGGATTATTATTTTCTATGTCCATGTCCAATACAAATTTGTTAAAAGTATTTCTAAGTTGTTCTATAACATTGTTTCCTATAGGTTTTTCAACTCACCAAGAAAGTATATGATATATAATATCTTTTTTTTTATATATTTTCCTTATATTAATCATATGCAGTTCTTATTGAGAAGATTTCACGAACTGTGCCTGATATTGGGAAGATATTTGTGCTAGTGAAGGCTAAAACCAAAGAAGCTGCAATGGACAGATTGAAAACTGAAGTATGTTCTGTCTTTTATTTTTCTTGCTTGATTATCGCATGTTTGAATGATTTTACTTCCTACCATTGAATCAAATTTTAGTTTCTTTTTGCTTCTTTTTTCTTCTTCTTCTTACTGTGTTTTAGATCATAAATGCTGAGATTTTCAAGTGTCTGCAACAAACATATGGGAATAGTTACCAAAGTTTCATGTTGGGCAAACTTGTCCCTGTGGTAGGGAATGTTTGACTCTGATCTTGGATTGGATGCTGATGTTTCTGATTCGATCACGAAACGAGTCGACATTATCGTGAATTCTGCAGCTAATACAACCTTTGATGAAAGTTTTGATCATTTTTCTTTTCCTTTTCGGATCCGTTCTTTAAGATTGTCGAACTGTTGAGATCAAGATCATTTTGAAATTTAATTGGAAATTGCAGATATGATGTTGCCATGGATATAAATACAAGAGGAGCATGCCGTCTCATTGGTTTTGCCCAGAAGTGCAGGAAACTTGAACTCCTTCTGCAAGTTTCAACAGGCAAGTATCCAAAATCAATACATGGAAATCTCATGGATGTATGAACATAATGTTTTTATGTGCATCATATGTTAATGACCAAAGACGAGGAAGAGTTATGGAAAAGGCATTTGACATGCCGAGATCGGTACCCGAGTTTGATATCGAGGAAGAGTTCGTATTGGCTCGAGGTACCGAGGAAGGTTGTGATGAAAGTGAAGTGGCTCAGAAAATGAAAGAATTGGGTCTAGAAAGGCGCAGGGTGTGTTATGAACATTTGGAATCTTACTCATGACTTAGAAACAGTAGTGTACAAATCATCTCGTATCTGTTCCTCTATGATTAATTTTCCGTTTACGCATCGAATCGGTGATTACTGCACGACCAGGGCTAGAAAACACGGCTGGCAAGACACATACATGTTCACGAAGGCTATGGGAGAAATGATGATCAATAACATGAGAGGAGAAATACCGGCGGTGATAATCCGACCGAGTGTCGTCGAAAGCACCTGCAGAAAACCATTTCCTGGATGGATGGAAGGAAATAGGTATCTCTTGTTTAAGTTGATATATATATATATATATATAATGCAAAGGTTTCAAAGAAAATATGGGACTAGCCTTTTGTTTCTATCATAGGATGATGAATCCTATAGTATTAAACAGGTTTCCTTGTTGACCCCAATTGCGTCTTGATGTTGTGAATTCTTGTTGTCTCTAATACATGCATCAATTCTGATACTATTGTGTTCGATGAATCAAAACGACGACAAAACGTGGCAGGTTCCGGCCGATATGGTTGTGAATGCAACCTTGGCAGCTATTGCAAGGCATGGGATGACCCCAAAACCAGATATTAACATCTACCACATTGCATCATCAGTTGTGAACCCACTGGTTTTCCAAGATCTAGCCAGCATGCTCTATGAGCAGTTGAGCACTACAACTCGAGGTCTTTCCACGACTCGAAGGGCACCCCGATCCACGTCCCGTCAATGAAGCTGTTCGGTTCCATGAACGATTTCTCGGCCCACCTCTGGCTAGACACCATGCACAGAACCGGATTCGCAGCGTCTCGGAGCGGAAAGTCGTCGCAGAAGCTCAAAGCGGTACGTTGTAAGTCGGTGGGGCAGGCAAAGTACTTGGCCAACATATACGAACCGTACACATTCTATGGGGGAAGGTAAGCAAATAGTTTGCATTGGATTGTACATTTGCACATGACCTTGAAATCGAAACCCACTGACATGGAAGAGAAAAACAACAACAATTGTTAGGTTCGACAACAGCAACACCATGAGACTAACGGAGAAGATGTCTGAAGAAGAGAAGATGAGCTTTGGATTTGATGCGGAAAGCATAGAATGGAAAGATTATACAAAGAATGTTCATATTCCTGGGCTGAGGAGGCATGTTATGAAGGGCAGAGGGATTCGTTCTTCACCTGTTAGCTAGATTTTACCAGAATCATGTATGAAATAAATGGATTTTTCATACATTTTTCTTTATGTTATAGAAAACCAAGCAAGGCAGAGAAGTTCAGCCTTCTTATTTGTGATGTAATTTAACTCTCTCGAGGGTTCTATCAATTAAAGTTAAAGGGACAATTTAATTCAAATATGATAGATTCTGACTCGATTTGATTTGATAGGGTCGATTTTTTTAAATATCGGGTTTGAGTCGGATTGTTTAAGGTGCAAGGTCAGGTCAGGTCGGGTTTGGGTGGAGAGAGAAAAAAATCCGACTCGATCCGAGGATAATAATATAATTTCCTAAAAAAATTATTATTATTTTTAATTAAATCCTTATTTTTATTGGGTCGGATCGGATTTATACTATAAAAATTTGGATTAGGTTGGAGTCGGATAGAGGATATATATTTTTCGGGTCGGTCAAGTCGAATGGAGAATAAAATATTTTCGGATCAGATTAGATTCAAGTGGGGATACATATTTTCGGATCAAATCAGATTGACAAAAACCCGATCTTAACTCGACCCATTGCATCCCTAAATCATCTTTATACGTCCAAAATTTTCATTGTTTTTGCATCTAAAGCAATCACTAAATATTTTCGGATCAGATTAGATTCAAGTGGGGATACATATTTTCGGATCAAATCAGATTGACAAAAACCCGATCTTAACTCGACCTATTACCATCCCTAAATCATCTTTATCCATCCAAAATTTTCATTGTTTTTGCATCTAAAGCAATCACTACATTTTATCCTTGCCAAAAAATATGCTCTGCTGACACGGTGAAGAAACGGCCAAATTAAATAATGCTCATTTTAAAAATAGATGTCAAAATCAATATTACATAGCATCCCTAACTGTGTCATTTATTGTTGTACTTTAGATGTTCAATGTTTTATTCCTTATAGACTAACATGTTAATGTTCCGAAATTGAATTTAACGGCCGATTCACGATTTGTTTGTTTTGAAAATTAAATTTACTGATGTTTTTTATTTTATTAATTGTGTTTATTTAAAATTTTATTTCTTTACGTTGTACAAAAATTTTGTATAATTAATTTACGTGTGTCAATCTTAAAAAATATCGATGGATTAACAAGTCATTATCTTCGTTTTTGCGGGTGATAAATATGAATAATTACGTGTCTGATTTGATGATTGATTCAATTAATGGTTGGTTTGAGATGATAGATGATAAAATATATAGTTTAACCTTAAAGGAATTAAAAACAATAGCTTTCAACCGCTTCTAATGAAGTTCAACACAAAGCATATGGGTGGTCTTGATTGAGGTTAGGTTGGTTCATTAAATGGGAACCTAAAGAGTAGAAGCAGGCAGCAGCAAGTTGGTGCAAGGCGATTGTCTTTACGAGAGATTGGATGGTTCACAATCGTTTGAATCAGTTGAAACGATGGCCTTCATGGAGGGATTACACATGATAATCGAGAATAAATGAATCATACAATCATCGAAGGAGATGCCCGAACAATCATATAATCACAATCGTTTGTTTTGAAAAATGAAATCTGCATCACCTTTTAGTATCAAAATGAAAAAGTTGATGCAAAGCAAAATGGAAAGCCCCAATTCTATGGTTCTAATCAAGTTAGAATGTGTCATTGCTGACCCTTAAGCGCGTTTGACTGCCAGCCAAAGTCTACCAAAGCCATGGACCTAAAAGATCTAGATTTTTTCAACCAGAAAAAATGATCAACAGCTCAAAGATTTATTTTTTATGTACGGAAAATCCAAAACAACGAAGCCAATTTCCTCAAACTTTCCTCCCAAACTCCTTTAAATCAATTTGAAACTGTGCAGTGGTGGTAGTTTTCTTTTATTTTCTGTTCTTTTTTCGTTTAGTTCTTCTTCTGATCCCCCGTTTGCAGGAGGGAAAAGAAGGGAATACACAAAGAAAAGAAGAGATTGAATGGAGAGTGTAGTTTGCCAAGGGTTGGTGTTATCTGCAATTTTTTCATGGATTGTAATAGCTTGTTTTTTCGATGTAACTAAAAAGTTTAGATCTCTGCTGCAACCTTGGGCCTCTCACCATGTTGTTGGAGGAACTATCACCATACTCAAGATCCAGGTTTTGACCAAAATAAACGATACCCAGATTGTCGTTTTACTTTTGGTTCGATCATTTTTGTTTTTTGTTTGATGGGATTTTGTTTTTGTTCTTCTTCGTTTTCAGAAACATCAGCATAAATTCTTGGATGCTCTCTTTTCTGGGTTGTCCTGTGTGGTTTCTGTGCCCTTCTACACCGCGTTTCTTCCGTTGCTTTTCTGGGTGTGTTTTCTACTTTTCTTTCACTTTTTGGATAATTTTGATTTGTAGTTTTTCTCATGGGCTGTTTCCTTTTATGATGTTTCCAGAGTGGGCATGGGAAATTGGCCAGGCAAATGACACTGCTGATGGCCTTCTGTGATTATCTAGGAAACTGCATAAAGGTACTTTTTTTACATGGTTTTATCGTTTCTTTTATGATAATGTGTTGAATGAAGTAAATTTTAATATTGATTTGCTTTTTGCTTGATGGTCTGTGTTTTTAGGATGTGGTATCAGCTCCTAGACCAAATTCTCCGCCTGTTAGAAGAATAACGGCCACAAAAGATGAGGAAGACAATGCTTTGGAATACGGGTTGCCTTCTTCGCATACTCTCAACACAGTATGCTTATCTGGGTATGGAGGTTCCCTACTTACATAAACCTTTTGATTTGGCAGCTGTGCGAGCATTTGCGGTTCACATTTTATCAATAAGTTGTTCTCTAAATGACTTTGAGAAAATGGTTATGTATACACCATAAAACTTTGATGGAAGTACTTTGAGGGTATCTAAAGAGGGATGATTGTGTTGCTTATTGTCCTTCAATATTTTCCGAAACACCTAGAACAGAATATATATATATATATATATATGATGGAAACTTTATAGTTCCACATGTCGGTAGGATGAGAAAACAAAGGAAAACTAAAATAAGAGCTTTGGAGGTTTGATAGATTGTCAGTCCTTTACAATAAAGTAAGCACTATACCATATTTACTTGTCAAGCAACTTATCAGCTGATATTTTCCAGATTCCTTGTATACTACGTTCTATCCTATATACAGAGCGAAGATGCTTGTGTGAAACTTGGTGTGGTCACCCTTGCTTGCTTGCTTGTGAGCCTAGTCGGTTTTGGTAGGTTGATTTTCTTCAGAAGTTCTTGGTGTTGCTCTCGGCTTTCCTTTTTGCAATATTCAGCCGAATTTTGTTTCATTGGTAGGAAGGGTCTACCTCGGCATGCACAGCTTAATTGATATCGTTGGTGGTCTCATCATCGGGTTTGTCATTCTTGCGATGTGGTTAACAGTCCACGAATATGTGGATGCCTTTATTATCTCTGGACAAAATGGTAAGTAAATCTACATTCAACACACTTGTGTTTTCATAGGCCGGAAGAATCTGTCTGAGCAGGTTGAATTTTCACCAATCCAATGAGGTGATTAGGGATCTAAACCGGGGGTTTGACATTTCTGTATAAAGAGGGTACATGCTAGCTTGTAGTTCCTGTAAAGATGGGAACTTTTAGGGATAGTGAAGTTAGTCTTCTATCTCCCCGGCCTTGGTTCCGTTGATTAAAATGACCATCGACCTTTTTAACTTACAAAATATGATTGGTAATCTAAATGCTTGAAACAAAATTATTCTCATGGTTATAGTTGAATAATTGAATGTTGAAACATAATACATTTTTTTTATATTGTTTATGCCTACTTTTCATGTTGTAGTTACATCATTTTGGGCTGCTCTGAGCTTCCTCTTACTTTTTGCGTATCCCACTCCCGAGTTTCCAACTCCAAGTTTCGAGTATCATACTGCCTTCGACGGCGTTGCATTTGGAATTGTAAGTAATTGATCACCCGTATAGCATTGATGCTATACAAGTCTTAGCTACTTTCTGTTATCACCGGATTTATTGTAGGAATGCATTTTCGATGAATTATTGCCTTTAAAGTTAATTAACATCCTTGAATGCAAAAAAGTTAAGATCATAAGCACATAGAAACAACAAATTAGTATTCGTGAGAACTGCGATCCGTTGCTTTCAGTTAAGAAGAGGAAATTCTGTGGGGCAAACACCATATCATCCTGTTTTGATAAGATAGCTGACGATGTTCGTGCCTTGAAAATTTTGAAATTGGCGGTGTCACAGCATTTGCTCTTGTGAACTTCATGGTTGACAAACCACTATGTTTATGGTTAGAATTATTTAGAGCTGAAATTATGTTACACAATAGCTTATAGAATTACCCCATTAGAGTCTTATCTATTCTGTACAGTAAAAATTAGCTTTGGTTTGTCAAGTTCTTTCGGAAACTTTGGATTTTTATAGTTTAGTACACCAAAGAGAAATGCCCCTTCTTTCCCTCCAAAAAGCCTATGGTTAGTTAGCAAATCAACTCCTGATGGCATTAGGGAGTGACGGTTGCTGCGGCAAGTTATTTTCTGTAGCCGTTGGATCATTTAGAAATTGCATCAAGAGTAATTATAAGCCTGGTGTTCTGCATTTTGACAAATATTATTGGCATGAATAAATGGATATCGACACATGCCAAAACAGAAAGGATGAAGCAAATTCAAGTAGGTGAAATGACGTGGTTAGTGTTATTCAACCATGCTGGCATGGTATTTGGTACCATTATAACAGTAAACGTCCTAATCTTGGGAATGTACCGAGAAACAATTCTGTATCTTGTTATTGGCATATAGAATATGGTTACAGATCGTGATTAGTAATGTGCTTATCATCCAAGTGATGATGTTGGGTTTGTTCTATTGCATTGGCTGTTCATCTCCCTACCTACCCTACAGATGAAGCAGATAAAAAGGAAGTCACTTTGCTTTAAGCCCTGTGTTTATAGGAACCCGAAATTATACATAGGCGTGCATGTTACTTAGTATCATTCATTGGACGAAACAAGTAGGGTACAATATTTGCATTTGCATCATGAAAATCGATCGATCGATCCTCCCATTCGACTGCATCCACCAACAGATATACCAGGTTTTGAATTTACATTCATCAATGTAACTTTAAAAGTGTTAATGTTGAGCAGGTGGCCGGGATTCAGCAGACATACCACCAGTTCCACCACGAAGCAGTTCCACAAATATTTACCTCTGAACTCACGATTCCCGCTTTTCTGGGAAGAATGCTTGTTGGGATACCAACAATCCTGATGGTCAAGTTCTGCAGCAAGGCTCTCGCAAAATGGATTCTCCCGGTAGTCTCGAACACGTTGGGTATCCCAATAAAATCAACCAGCTATATCCCAATGCTTAATGGTTCAACTGCAGAGAAGAAATCCAGTGAGATTAAGCAATCAAGTTATATCCACAAGATGTTATTTTTCTCCGACCAGGATTTATTTGATGTCGACACCGGTATCCGCTTCCTTCAGTATGCAGGCCTTGCGTGGTCGGTCGTAGATCTTGTCCCGTCTCTCTTCTCTCACCTGAGGCTGTAACCTGTTTTAGTGGCAGCCTGCAGATGATTTGTAAATTCATTTGTTATGTTTGTTCGGTACTGAATTTGTCCATTTTCTTTTTTGTTAATGAAATGGTCCCCAAGAGTACGTTGGCAGCTTTGTACTCCCCTTGGCTTTAAAAAATGTTAGCATCTTCCTCCCATTTGGAAGTATTTTTGGTCCTCAGTTTCTTTTCAACTTGCTGATATTAGTACTCCATTGCTGGTCATTTGCAAAGCAATTCCTTGACCATCCTTTTATTATTGAAAGGATAAAATTTTCTTCAATTTCTAAGGATATTTTGCCTCGCCAAATCCTTTAGGGTGCGTTTGGTTCATTGAATGTAAAATTACCAGTGAGAATAAAAGATTACCAGTGTGAATAAAAGATTACCAGAGAATAAGATTACTGAGAATGTTGTATTTTGTGTTTGGTTATTTTAGCAGAAATGTAAGATTACCGTGTTTGGTTAAAGGAATAAAAGATTATTGGAATGTATATTTGACCAAATTATCCTTATTATATTTGTATAATATTAATTATAAAATATTTATATATTTTCTTTAAAAAATTAAATTATAATATTTATATAATTTTTCTACAAAATTAAAAATATAAAAAAGGTTTAATAAAAGGGTAAAAAAAATTTAACCCATGAACTTCATATAAAATTTTAATTATAGTTTTTTTTTGTAAATCTAAAATAATTTAAGGATAAATTTGTAATTTAACCTTCTTAGAATTTTTATTATTCAACGACAAAAAAAGAATATTTTTGAAAAAAAATAAAAATTTAAGGGCATTTTAGTCCAAAACGCAGGTAATGTTACAATACCTAAGGGAAATGAGGTAATGACATTCCCAGTAATATACCCCAAAAAATCTACTATTAGTAATAAAACATTGTCGGGAATAAGATTTCCGGCCAACCAAACATGAAAATGTGGGATTCTCATCCCCATAATCCTTGAACCAAACACTCCCTTAGGGTAAACTATTTATTGAGTACCTAAACTATTAGTTTTGATATGTTTTAGTACATGAACTTTCAATTTTTTCAAAAACATACCAATTGGACTTTATATTAAATTAATTCAAAATTAGAATATAAAACTTCATGCACTTAAAAGTAATTATTTTTATGTGTTTGGGTGTTTCTTCTAAAATGTAAAAGGAGGTAGTCTCTTCTCTTGTAATCACAATTTGAATAATTTTTCTTCTCGATTACACATGCTTTTAGAGTATATTTCTACAAGTGTTGATATATGTGCCTTTAAAGTTGTTCACCAACAATTTCTCTTCGTAGTTTTTGCGGTGAATTTCATCTTCACACTTTGGATTACCAAGAATCTATTCTCGGATGCTCGATTAGAGCCTTTGACGGAGTCTGCTTGAACGACCACTCTCGAGATTTATTAAGATAAAACAACATCAACATCAGTAGCAAATATACGAAGCCGTATAGGGTACAATTGCATGCTCATTATTTTTTTAAAAAAAATTATTAAATCTAGTTCAATGTGTTAATAAAAAAGAGAAAAAAAATTACATACTTTTGTTTATAATATTGTATTGTTTTAAATAGGTAAAGTACTCATTTAGTCCCTAAACTATCAGTTTTTTTGGATAAATCATAATTTTATTATCCAAATAGCAAAAGCTACAAATACAATCAGGGTTCAATACAAAACATTTACAATACAAAAATCAGTGGTCATCGATACCCCAATGTTTGTAGAGGGTAAGATTCGCATTATCTACTCTATTGTATTTCCTGCCATTAAGTTGAAGACAAACAATAGATTTGATATTCTTTAGAAGTTCATTTACAGGTCTAGTTCGGCCTTGGTACAGTCTTTTGTTCCTTTCTTCCCAGAGCAAGTAAACCAATGCATTCAAAGCATTCCTCATTACAGTAGATAACAATGATTTTCCTTTCCAGTTTGAGCTCGCCATTTCCAAGAATTCTTCCCAAAGGTATCCTGTAAAATGCAAACCAGAAAAAGAGAAGATGCGTTCCCATAGAAAAACAGCAGTAGGGCATAATAAGAAAAGGTGATCCCTAGTTTCCACATCAGAGTTACATAAAAGACAAGAGCAGTCATTAGTAATACCGATTTGGTGAAGACGATCCTTGGTGGGTAGTCTGTCAAGTAGAGCCATCCAGGTTATCATACTATGTTTTGGAATGTGCAGGGAAAACCAAACGAGTTTTTGCCAAGGGACCTTCTGATTTTTAGACCGAATAGAGTCCCATATCGAGCTTGCATTGATAGGACCCGGATGAAGGAAATTTTGCACCTCTGATCTCAATTTAAGAAGTCTTCTGAGACACCAGTTTGTGTTGAGCTTAAAACTATCAGTTTTGGTCCGTTTTAGTACATAAACTTTCAATTTTTTTCAAAATTGTACCTAGTGTTTAATTTTTATTTCATTTTAATATCCCATTATTAAAAACTTAACGCATTTAGTACCTAAACTATTAATTTTAAACTATTTTAATACCTAAAGTTTTATTTTTTTCAAAACTTAACGTTTAATTGCTTTACTTCCTTCCTTGTATTAATCATCATCGTCATATTTTCTCGATTTTCTAAATTTTAAATACCATTATCATCTACATAGGCGTGAAAGTTGTGTCAACAGATGCCTAATCATCGAAATTAAAAAAGATGAACCGATTATAATCGTTGTCGCCTATTTATTCTATGAACAATGAGACAATTTTAACTACGAATATGAAATCTGTAATAGCCGAGCCACTGAAATTCACAAGCTTATGAACCTATAATTTGACAGAGAGTTGACTCCATCAATTGCAATAGCAGGGGCCATGGAGGGAAGGACCAGGCCTTGTCGTTGTCCACACCAACTTATTATTAGACATCAAACAGTAAAAAACAATGTCTATAAATGTTGTCAGCAGAGGGCAATCATTAATAAGGAAGAAAGCCCCCCCCTACTGCTCACTTACAAAATTGTACATCTTTCGTTTGGCACTGAATTTAACAACATTGACCTTTCGGTTTTAATTTTTAAAAAAATTATACCATACAAGTTATTAATTTGTATTTTTTATTTTAATTATAACGTATAAAAATATATGAATTTAAGTGATTTGAGAACCCTTTCCAAGCATTATAATAATTTATGCAATACATTGAGAATAAAATGATAACATTTGCATTAACTAATTTATTTTAGTGAGTTAAAGGAGTTGTTGTTCCTAAAAATTATGGGTCCTAGCACCAACGACTGTAGAGTGATTGAGAGTCGAGAGTATATATATATATTGTGCAAACAAAAAAAAGAAAAAAAAGTCGTAATAGATAATTATTATTACCAAGTACAACATTATGTGGACAAAAAAACTAGATTGTCTTCTTTGAAACATCCTCATTTCCCCATCTTTATAAGCTCTTGGGCTGTAGAAAATTGAAACCATGGTCAGGAGATAATGTAGAACGGAAGGGAAGAGGAATTTGGTGGCATACATGGGAAGTTCAGGCATCTGCTACTATTTTTTTTCTCGGGTTTTTTTTTTGGTTGCCCCTCCAGTTCCAAAGACTCGAAGTTGATACATTGCTTAAGCGATAACAAACTTCTTACTACTTGAACCAACCCTATTGGTAATTTTTTTCTGGTTTTTAATCTATATGTATCTAGACCATGAAATGTAAACAATGTAATTCAGTTTCTTGGAACTGAATATTATGTTGCTGCAAATTTTCTTTTCCTTTTTTAAGTAGATGATATTGAGAAAGATGTGGTTATGGTAAGGCTCAAGCACACTTTTCCCCAAGCCACCCCTCCCCCACCAAAAAAAAATCTGCTACCATTTGTATGGAATTCTTTTGATGCAGAGACCAAACTTAGTCGGTTTCCTTGTGTTTGATGGTATAGAAACGTTGTTTTGTCTTTAATATTAGAAATGCATAGCATTTGTTCGTGTTGGACAACAAACATTTGAATCAGCATGGTTGGTCTGTTTACATATTAATCACTATAGACTGATACAAGTAGTCAGTCTTGCTCACTGCATAACGCTGCTGCTTGAACTTGTAAGAGTACCTCCCTCCAATAGGGGTGCTTATCGAGAGAGTCGATAGTGAATTGGGTTAAAATTTTGCTAGACTTAACTCATTGCTTGTTAATCTCGTTAAAATTTTGCTCGACTCGTGTTTGTCAAGAAAGCTTGTTGCTCGAGTCGTTGCTCGTTAAGCTCGATGCCCGTTGCTCATTAAGCTTATCGAAATTTTTACCTTATTTCTTAACTATAGGTAAAATCTAGTAATACTATAAAGAGACTAATATAAACATAAATTAATAAATTTAACCAAAAAAAATATTAAAATAGTGTATGAAGTAATTTCAAAGTCTAAACTCTAAAGTAACAATTCATAATCAAACTTATCGAGTCAAGTTGAACTTTGCTCGACTCAACTCATTAAGGTATCGAGTCAAACTCGAGTTCGAGTCAACCCGAGTTGAGTTTTTATCAAGCTTTAAGCTAGTCGAATTCGAACAACTCAACTCATTAAGCATAACCTCCAAAGCAAAACAAAATAATTGTCATAAACCATGTTCAATTATATTACTAGTTGTCCCAAAAGGCTTAAAACTGATTAATAAAAGATGACAGATTTTCCTTGCCAAATGCAGTAGTTTCGTAGAGATAAAGGAGAGTGAAGAATACAAATTGTTCATGTAAGCCAGTCCAGTCCTTCCATGAAAAACTTGACCCAAAGTCTCGGCTCAAAAGCTGGATTGATTGTTCATACTGACAATTAATTGACCAAATTTTCAAACTCCATTCAGAGTGGAAATTAAAATAAAAGAGGAACAGTCATTTCTCTATGATGAGATGAGATGGGAAGGCATGCCACTGATTGAAAACAAAAATGAATGAGGAACAGTCATTTCTCTATGAAACAAAAGGACAATTCGCTGAAATTATGCTGAGCCGGTGGACATTTCTATTGCCAAAAACAAAAATGGAAGAGGAATAATCATTTTTTCTATGAAACAAAGGTTGGACATATTACAAAGCAGATAGATCAAAGTAAGGATCCTTCCATCATAGAGATTACCATAAAGCACAGGGACCATGATCTACCGTTCTTTCAAATGCCTTTTATCTGTATCCATCGGCTTCTTGGGGGTGTCATTT